AAATATCCTTGTTAATTAAATAAGTGAATTCCAAACTCTGGGACACACAGTCCATGGTGGCTTCACTTCTAAAAACAGTAACAACAGCATGCTTAGTTCCTGTGGGTTTAGATAGTCTTGGGACCCCACTGTATAGAGAGCTACTAATTTTAGGTAAAACTATGATATGAACACAGAATCATATCCAAGTCTCCATAACGTGGGCCCCTCTAAAAGCCCAGCCACCCTACCTTTCTGTGATTTCTTCCCTTGGTACGAAACATAGGTGGAGTTCAGGGAGAATTACAGCTTTGTTCTGTTTTGGATAGGGTCTCGTGCAGCCCAGGTTGGCTTTGAGCTTGCTATGTGGCTAATAATGACGAGCTTCTGATCCTCCTAACTCTGCCTCCCAAATGCATCACAAAGCCCAGTTTATGTAATGCTGAGGACTGAACTCGGAGCTTCCTGTGTGCCAGGCAAGCATGCTACCAACTAATCCACATCCCCAGTCCAGTTTCTTCTAATTGATAATGGTTTATTAAACGTCAATTATAAGCCAGGTGCTCTGTGTCAGAGGTTAGGAAGACAGAATTGAAGACAGCATTAGGAACATTACTGTTGAGGAGGAGATGGACACGTCCCCTGATGACTATTCTACACCATGACAGATTCCCAACTGCTATGGGCCTCCAGAGGAGGTATCTTTTGTCCTTCCTGGAAGAGGTGACATGTGCAGTGGTTCTTGGTGGACAAACAAGAACTGGGGCTAAGATGCGGTTCCAACAGAAAGAACAGCCTGTCCGAGGACTTGGGCTAGGGAGAGTGAACATGCTTGCAACACCATGGAGTCAGAGCGACTGGGAAGGGCCGAGGGGGGTGGGGGTGGGGTGGGGGACAGTTTGGGTGTGGTTAGAGATGGAGCCAGGGAGTGAATGGGAGCCAGATCAAGCCTGTCAGCTCTTAAGGATGCTTGAGGTGTTGGTTTATCCTGAGGTCCACTCGGGTACACAGAAGGTTTACTAATAAGAATATGACCTGATCATATCTGGGATTTAAAAGCTACAGACTTGAATTAGGGAAGCCACATACAGTCCATTGCAATCACCCAGCCAAGAGATAAGGATCTACCTAAGCATGAGCACTCGACAGCTGGAGGTCCCTGCCCAGAGATCAGTCAGGTGAGATGCATGGTGTCGTCCACCAGTACCCTCCGCATGCTAGGCCTGCATGAGCCGAATGCACTACAAGTATGGCTACTTTACTGACCTTTGACTCATATTTCCTCCTTCGGTGACCATTTTATCCATCCAAGTTTGAAGCTCATGGTCTCCAACATTTGATAGCTTTTTGGCACATAATGCACAGGCTTTTATTTCTTTTTAAGTGGAAACTGGGGGTTTTTCATACTTGAAATCCAAATTTGCACAAATAGCTTAATTCAAAATTCTCCTAAAAGATTGACTTTTGGGTAAAGACCAAATCTAAATTTCATGCTGGAGTTCAATAACAGGTTTGGACAACTTTGTGGTTTCTTCTCTTGAAAATGAAGGTGGGGGTGAGGCTGGAGAGGTGGCTCAGTGGTTAAGACCACTGGCTGCACTTCCAGAGGATCTGGGTTCAATTCTCAGTGGTGGCTCAGTGGTGGCTCACAACCACCTGTAACTCCAGTCCTAGGGGATTTGACACTCTTTTCTGGTTTCCTGTGGGCACCAGGCACACACCTGGCACACAGACATACATGCAGGAAAAACATCCATACACATACAATAAAGTAAAAATAAAAATTAGCCTGAACAGACAGTTCAGCAGTTCAGAGCACTTGCTGCTGCTCTTCCAGAGGACCTGAGCTCAGTTCCCAGCACCCATATATAGCAGCTCACAACCATCTATAACTCCAGCTCCAAAGGACCAGATACTCTCTTTCTGGTCTCTATGGGCACCTACACATAGGTGGCATATACTTACACAGGTACATACACTATACATAAATAGGAATTCTTTAATGGAGCCAGGGATGGCTCAGTGGGTAAAGTACTTGACCCTCAAGTGTGAGGACTTGAATTCAAGCCCTAGAGTCCACATCAAAGCCAAGCATGGGCACAGAACTGTAACTGCAGGCCTGGGAGGTACAGCAGGGGTAGCCTGAGGGCTTGCTGGCTGTCCAGTCTATCCAACTGGTAAGCTGAAGGTTCAGCATGAGACCTGTTTGCAAAAATAAAGTGGATCAAGATAGAGGAAGACACTCACCATTTACTTCTGGCCTCTACAATGCGCATGCATGAGCATGCACATGGGTATACCCGACATGCTTGAGTGTGCACATTGATGAACGTGTAAGCTCCTGGAAAAAGAAACAAGTGCCTCATTCCCCCAAATAAAGACAAACCGAAGGACATTTGCTCCCTTTCAGTGAACATCACTTGTCAGTTTCCATTCACACCTAAGCAGGGAAGCCAGAATATTTTCTTCTCACAGGTCTTCCTTCCCTCGACAACTCAGTGCCCACCCTCCTACTACTATAACTTATTGCAGTGGGCTCACATCTTGTTGGATGAAAAGCCGAGAAGTAAGAATGGAGAAAGATTTGTTTCCTGCAACAGGGAAGGACAGCACCAGAGCTGCTTCCTTCCCTGAGCAGACAGAGTGTGGAGATATTACCTGGGATGCCTACACAGTCACGTGAGAAAGCTCATTAGGTGGGCGCATTCCTGAGCATGCCCAGTTTGAAGTGATAGTTCAAGAAGGAAAGATGGCAGACACTTTTTTTTTTTCAGACAGGTAGAGCTCAAAGTCAAGAAGAGTTTGGGCATGCTCAGTTTGCCTCAAAGATGGAGGATGAGAACACTTTCTGGGTGCACATTTGTCTTTCTTCAAAAATTTTAGCTGCAAAAAGAAAAAGCAGCTTTGAAGATGCATCCATAGAGGAGTTTGGGCAGGGTGGATGGCACATATATTTTATCCCAGCACCTGGGAGATAGAGGCGGGAGGATTTCTGTGAGTTTGAGGCCATCATGAAAAGAGTCACACTACTTTTAAAGACCTCCAAAGCAGACTTCTCCGCAGCCTGTTCTGGTATGTTCCTATCTCTTTGAGATCTGACAAAATTCTCCTCATGAAGGCTCAGGCCACCTAGCCAGGGGAGCCAGAGAAAACTCCAGCCATCTTGGAATTCTTCTTCCGACCCATTTTCCAAGACTGTCAACAAGCCATGAGGGTCCCGATCATCCTGTTTTCCACAGTTTCCACTGGGTTTTGGAGCCTGGTGTTGTGAAGGCTCAATGCTGGACTTTCTCTCTCAAAATGTGGTCTCTTCACCGGCTGGGAAGACCAGGGAGGTAGGTGGCTGCAAGCAGGCGTCTCAAGCAAGGTCAGTTTGGTGGGTATGTGAGTGAGTGAACAGGCATGAGCGTGCCTGTTCTGACACACTTCCAGTTGCCTCACCCAGCACACTGCTTGAGAGAAAGGCTCTCCTTTCTTTTGGTCTTCAAAGAGTCTTGGCTAAAAGTGCCAAGAAAGGGGAGCCTAACCTAAGAGGAAAAGGAAACTCAAAAGCTAGGTCAGAGAGTTCGGGGGATAGGATGCATCTGGCCTCCGAGTTTCAGAGGAAGGAAGGAAGGAGATCGGATGCTGGTGGCTTTCTTAAGGCTGCCCAGGTTTTTCCCCACATGGCTCTGGTTGCCAGGCTGAGATTCAAAACTGGCTTGGAAAATGTCTTCCAGCTCACACTCTGATTCTAATGTAAATGTAACACAATAGGGGCTGGAGAGATGGTCAGCCTTTAAGAACACTGGCTGCTCTTCCAGAGGACTTGGGTTCAATTCCCAGCACCTACACAGCAGCTTGCAACTGTCTGTAACTCCAGTTCCAGGGGATCTGACACCCTCACACAGACATTCATGGAGGTAAAACACCAATGCACAGAAAATAAAAACAAAGAAATCATTTAAAACAGGACCATAAGGATTAGAAAGGAAAAGATAACCAAGAAGGACTGTGAGTAAGCAAAAACTGTGTGAAGATGGGTTCTGCCTGAAAGAAAGAGTATCCCCCAAATCAGTGCATAGTTAAGTTCACAGAATCCCCAGGGATGGCGTGGAGGCCGGCCCTTAGAATGAAAGGCATGCTAACTTACACAGCTCTGGGGTGAAGAGCATTGGTCTTGAAGCAGGCAGGAGGCATGGGCTCCACCTTAATCTCTGGGAGCCTCTGAGTCTTAGCCTTTCTAGGCTAGCATGGTGCTTCCCACAGAAGTTTCTCGTACTGGGTTAAGATGTTTCACAGACCTTCTATCTGTGGGCTAGTACCTTCCATGGTGAGCTGGTTTAAAGATAAAAATATAACTCGGGAGGCAGAGGCAGGTGGATCTCTGTGAGTTCGAGGCCAGCCTGGGCTACAGAGTGAGTTCCAGGAAAGGCTCCAAAGCTACATAGAGAAACAAAGAAATTCTGTCTCAAAACAAAAAACAAACAAACAAACAAAAAAGATAAAATTATTACCCGTATTCCCTTTAAAGTTCTTTAGGCTGGGGAGATAGTTTAGTTGCTAAATGCTAGTCATGTGAGTGTGAGAGCCTGAATATGGTACCCAGAACCTATAGTGAGAAACTGAGTATGATGGTACACACTGGTAATGCCACTGCCAGGGAGGTGGCAACACAGGATTCCTAGGGCTTGATAGTGAGAGATCCCGTCTCAAAATACAAGGTGGAGGATTTGAGGCCAGCCTGGTCTATATAGCAAGTTCTAGTCCAGCCAGAGGTACATAGTGAGATGTTGTCTGAAGAAAGGAAGAAAGAAGGAAGGAAGGAAGGAAGGAAGGAAGGAAGGAAGGAAGGAAGGAAGGAAGGAAGGAAGGAAGGAAAAGTAAAAGAAAAAACCAAGATGGGCAGAGTAACTGAGGAACAGCATTTGAGGTTGATCTCTGGTCTTCACACTTGCACACATGTGTAAATGCACTTGAACACACAGGAGCATACACATGAACACACACAACAAAAAATAAAACCCTTCAAACTACCCAGAAGCAGGAAAACATACTGTATTTTGGAGGCTTTTGTAAGATTTGAGGCCCACCGAGGAGAGCATCACATCCAGATTCAGCCTAAGCATCCTTTGATTGCCTCTAATCAGCAATGCTATCAAATGAATGTGGATTTAGTTTTGTTTGCCACATGCGAGGGTTTGAGGAGTTTGTTTCTTTGTTGTTCTTGCTGAGACTGCACAGTCCAGTTTGCGTAGGTTCAATATGCGTATAATACAAGTATATCCGAAATGTTTTCCAATATTTGTTCATTAAAACAAAACACAGGGATGCGACTAGACACTAAGAGTGTTGATATGAACTTGGCTCTTGGCGGTTGCAATATCACCTGTGAAGTTTCCAGGGAGAGGAGACGCTGTGGGCGGGCAGATGAGCTGGCCAGGCAGTCTACCTGAGATGACCAGGCGAGAGCGGAATGGTTAAGACTGTCTCAAGCCTCCCCGGCTTAATGTCCCATCACACATCCATACCCACTGACCAGCAGGGATTCACTGGCTTCAATTCACATGTTAGAACAAGGAGATGGGAGTTACTGCCATTCAGCTCTCTAATTCAGATTATACTTTTTCCGTTGCCTCGGCATTTTACATTTTCTGGTTGTTTATTTGCTTTACTGTCTATGGTTCTTAAAGCACTCCTGAGAGACAAAGGGCATCATACCAATCATTTGTCAGATTTTCAAACTAACGCTTCCCAAATCCAGAATCTTATCTAGAATCAGACATGCTGAGTGACGTTAGAGCTGGAAGCAGAATCTGAACTTTCCAAGTTCAAAATATCCAAATGTTTCAACTTTTCAAAACTCTAAATATCACCATGCTTCCCTGGGAGGATTTGCTTAAAATCCTTGTTTCCAACAGAGGCCTCCGTGACCACTGGAGTTCCCTGCCAGCCCTAAAATAATCTTGAAATCTACAGCCCACAGTTCTTCTGGAGGGCTGGAATTCACTGGACACTGTTCTTCTGTCGCCCTCTGGTGGCCATTGCACATGTAACACATCACACAGTCCTAGGGCAATGGTGCCTTCTCTTTGGTCATTGTTCATTCCTGCAATGGCAAAGGGGTACCACACTCTGCACTGGGACACGAGGAAGTAAAGATAAGCCATGTATGGTGGTGTATGCATGCCTGGATCCCAGTACTTGGGAGGCTGAGATAAGCAGACGGTGAAGGCGGGGCCAGCCTGAGTTACGTAGTAAGACCTGTGTCTGTCAAAAAAGAAAGAAAGAAAAAAGTAATTATTTTAAAAATAAAGACAGAAGATAAGATAAAGCATGGTCCTCAAGGTCAGTAGGCAATCAAATGTTAGATTATAACAAAATTATGGGACCAATGTCTTAAAGGTGTATGCAGAAAATATACCCAGCCGGGACGTCTGGAATGCTCTCATCAGGGTAAAGGACTGAACTGAGCTCAGAAAGGCAAGCAGGAGCAGGGGTGGGTCGGGTAGGTTGGGAATTCGGGGACCTATCAGCATGCACCGTCACTGTGGTGGAATTCAGAACATGGGTCTTAGCGGGGCGGGGAGACTAAGATCCAAATGTAGTTGGATCAGATAATAAAAGCATTTTTATGTCACAGCTATGTTTGGGCTTGTCCATTAAGCTAATGTCACCCCCTTTTTTTAAAAAATCATGTTACCATCAAAAATATTTAGATATCCATCCTTAACGTTTATTTATACACTTTATTTGACATATTTTATTTTGTGTGTGTGTGTGTGTGTGTATGTGTGTGTATGTGTGTGTGTGTGTGTGTGTGTGTGTGTGTGTGTGTGTGTGTGTAGGTCCGAAGACAGTTTTGGGGAGTCAGTTATCTCTTCACACCACATGGGTTCTATTGATCTAACTCAGGTCATAGATCTTGGTATCAGGTGCCTTGACCAGCTGAACCGTCTTGATGGCCTAGGCTCCATTTCCTGAAGGTTCTACCTCCAAGAAATATCACCGCACTGAGTCCTGAGCTTCCAACAGCTGGACCTTTGGAGAACACTTGAATCAGATCCATCCCGGCAGCACTTACGATCTCAGCACTTGGAGGAGGGTTACGAGTTCCAGGCTGGTCCTATTCACTCACACGCAAAAGTCTTAGCTGCGAGAGTACTGATGCCCGCTAGCTGATCCTGTAAAATAATTTGAAGGCTTTATCTTTTCACAATGGCAACAGGTTAGTTCTTTTTAGAAGATTTTTGTACAGTGTCTTGGTTTGGTTTCTATGTTTTGATAAAACACTAAGCAAAACCAACTTGGGGAGACAACAGGGCTTTTTGGCTTACAGGTTACAGTCCATTAAGGAAGGAACTTGAAACAGAAACCATGGAGGGATAAACACTGGTTACTGGTCTGTCCCCGGCTCACGCTTAGCCAGCTTTTCTATGTAGCCCAGGCCCACCTAGGGATGTCACCATGAGCTGGGCCTTCCTGCACCAGTTAGCAATTAAGAAACTGCACCATGGGCCAATCTGATGGAGGCAATTCTTCAGTTGAGTTCCCCTCTTCCCAAGTGACTCTAGGTTTGTGTCAAGTTAACAGCTGAAGCTAAGTATGACATAAAGTTAGAATTTCTTGTTTCCAGCTTTTGAAACCACATGCTCTGGTTTCTATAGAAGGTACACTTACATCATCTTCAGCCTCAAATCACCTACCCATTTTCAGCATCCTCTCTCCAAAGCACGAGTTTATTTTGAAGGGCTATTACTCTCTCCCACTCCGTTGCAACAACGGACAAGCATTGTCTTTTTAGGTGCATTTTACTGACCCCACTTTTGCCAGGGTAAACGTCAGCAAACTTGAAATACCGTCTGTTCATCAAGGGAAAGTTCATGCTCACTCTTGTATTTACCACAAGGAAACCCTCTTCACCTCGGGTAGCATTGAGGTCGAGACAGGGTGTGTTCTGCAATTTATTCTTTTTTTTGAGACTGAGCACATGGCCTTGAATATGCCACAGAAGCAATGAACCACTGAGCCACACTGCTAGCTCTGGGAAATTGCTTTTTCTGGCCTTGAACTCTCTTATCATCCTGGTTTAGCCTCCTTGAGTAGGGATTACAAGCCTGAAACCCTATACCTGGTTCACTTATTCTAGTCATATATAGGAAACTACAATGTGATTTTTCTCCCTCTTTTACTGAAACGTATGTACACACATAGAAAGTGAGATAGACAGAGAGAGGGAGAAAGAACATGTATGAAGCCTGCTAACATGCTCTTAAGCCAGTGACATGCTTTTCAATATTTAGCAACAAGTTTTCTTAAAAGAGCAGAACTTGAGACTGGAGTGATTGCTCAGTGGTTAAGAGCATTGCAGAGGTCATGGGTTCAGTTCCCAGCACCCACACAACAGCTTACAACCACTTGTAACTGATCTGATGCCCTCTTCTGGCCTCTGTGGGCACCAGATATATGTATATGTGGTGTACATATACATGTGCAAACAAACATACAAATAAATAAATAAATAAAATTTTAAAGGAGAAAAAAACAAACAAAAAACCAAACAGATCTTACTCTGTGGGGAGCCCCACCAGCGCTGGAGTTTGGATCTTGAATGTCTCACAAAGCACACATGTCACAAGCTTAGCTGTGCATCTGGGCACCTCTGGGAGGAGGTAGAAATGTAAGAGTCGGGGCCCAGTGAGAGGCATTCAGGTCATTGGAGACATTAATGACGTTTACACTAAAAGAACTAAAGGGAGGGAGGAAGAGAGAAAGAGAGGAAGGGAGAGAATGTTATTGAACAAATAACATTTAATTCCAAAGAAAAATTTTTATGTGACACTGTGATTTATCTAATATAGTAAAATTTCAAAGTTAAATAATTTTCTTAAAAGAATAATTTTAAGGGCTGGGTAATAGTTCCGGAGGTAGATCACTTTCATAGCATTAGGTCCTGGGTTCAAATCCCAGTGCTACAAAACAGAGAAATAATAATAATAGCAATGTGGTTGTATTGACAAAAATATTAATTTATAGTATTTATAAAAACACCGTAATACATATTGTAACTCCAGTAATCAGGATGCTAAGGCAAGAAGTCCTTAGTTTGAAACCTAGTCTAGGCTACACAGCAAGCCCCTAGGATAACTGGAATGTTAGAACAATAATTTCCAAGTTATACATGTGCATGTCACTCCATGCGTGCATTCTTTCCCTTTGCCTCTCAATATTTTGTGTTTTCCTTGTACTGTTTTTAAGTGTACTGTTTATTAATACATAATTCTGATTGCCATGGTGACTAGAATGTGCTTTCCCCTGATATTTTCAAACCACCTGATGTTCTACACAAATACTATTGCTTTTAAACATGTATGTATGTATCATAGATTGGCATCTTTTGAGAAAGAGCTGCTTTGCCTGTAAAGCAAATGGCTCGGGGCGACCCTGGCTCTTCTGCCAAACCCAACGCCGCCGCCGCTTAACCTTCCTGGAGCCAGAGCAGTTTCCTTATCTGATAAATAGACAGTGACAGATGCACCTCACCAGAGTCTTGGGGTTTGAATGGAATCATGCCAGTGAAGCTCTTAGCAGAGGCTTGGCAGCCAGGACGCACTGAGCTGGTGCGAGAGTTACTACGGAGTCTTCAGCTTGCTGTGGGAACGATCACACCCATAGACAGCGATACTGTAGTAAATGTATGCTCCTTTATAATCCCTCTCTTTCTCTCTTCTTCTTCTTCATTTCCTGTTGAACAGAACTGACCTGGCCCGCATTTTAAGTGTGAATGGTAACCACACTCATAAGCCTCCTGCTTGACTCTATCACACGCTGCAGCTCATTGTCATACCCTGGGAGTCTCCATCCTAGTTATCGTAAAAGCTTTTTTTTTTTCTTTTGACAGGACTTTCCTCTACAGGTCACAGGGAAGAAAAAGGATGGGGTCACCGGCCAGACACGGAGGAAGCACCATGAGCAGTACAGAGAGATGAGGTAATGAGCCACGTGACAGAACGTACATTAAAATAAATGAGTTAATTTAAGGTATAAGAGCTAGTGGGACAAGCATAAGCTAAGGTCAAGTTTTCATAATAATAAGTCTCCATGTAGTTATTTGGGAGCTGATGGTACAGAGAAAGACTTGCTACAGAGTTGAGCATAATATTCTGCTAATGTAATCTGTAAAAGGGCAGGATCAAGGTGGTGCATACCTATAATCCTGGTATTTAGAAAACAGAGACAGGTTCACAAGTTCAAAGTCAGCCCGAGCAAAACAGTGAGCTAAAACCTGTAAATCTATAGTATCGCCCTCATTCCAATTGTGTGTGTGTGTGTGTGTGTGTGTGTGTGTGTGTGTGTGTGTGTCCTGAACTTGATTTTCTCTTTTCTACCTGTCCATTTCTGCTTTGTCAGTTCCTTCTATTTAGCTTGGTGATGTTCTCTTGTCAATCTTTTGAAGTTCCAATTAGCCATTTCTTTATAGTCTTTTTTCTTCATGCTCAGTTACTGAACCCCATGCTCTTCTTGTGCACAGCCTCAGCCTTCTCACTGTGGAATAGTCTAATCATTCTTCTCTGAATGATCTGTAGTTGCAGTCTCCATTTCTCATCCACTCAAAGGCTATGCTGTGTGGGAATGTGTTGGTGTTTGGTCCTCTCCTCCTCCTCCTCCTCCTCCTCCTCCTCCTCCTCCTCCTCCTCCTCCTTCTAAGTTTTGGCATTGATGTTGTTTCTCTGCAGTATAATCCAAGACTACAGGCATTATAAAACTTTTTCTTGGAATGTATTAATTTTTTTCCATGAAGATTGATAGCAGATCACTCATTGTGGTAGTTTGGATGAAAATGGCCCCCATAGGCCCACAGGGAGTAGCACTATTAGGAGGTATGGCCTTGTTGGAGTAGGTGTGGCTTTGTTGGAGGAAATGTGTCACTGAAGATGGGCTTTGAGGTTTCAGATGATCAAGCCTGGCCCAGTGCGGCACTCTCTTCCTGCTGTCTGCCAACCCAGATATAGAATTCTCAACTTCCTCTCCAGCACCATGTCTGCCTGCATGCCACCATACTTCCCACCATGAGGATAATGAACTAAACCTCTGAACTGTAAACCAGCCCAAATTAAATGTTTCCTTATAAGAGTTGTCATGATCATGGGTATCTCTTCACAGCAATAGAAACCCTAACTAAAGCACTCACGGTGTTTAATTACCTAGAACAGAGAACATCTAGGCTTGGAGAAAGGTTTTGATAGAACTGTCTTCATGTAAGTCAACTAGATTGCTAAGTGGAATTTCAAGTTCATGGGAGACAATGTGTTTTCTTATTGCAAGGCCCATTCTGTTACAATTTTAGAAGTCAAAGGTGACAGACATGTAGAAATAAGAGAAGAGACAAAAGGAAGGTAGGGAGTTGGTCAGCTCAGAATTACAGAACCAGGGTTTAAATCTCTAATTAGCAGACAAGCCAGTTACTGAGATTTCCATTTGAAAGGACACAAGAAACAATAGTAGAGGGGACATGAGAAACAAGAGTGGAAAGAGCACAGGAAACGATGGTGGAGGGGACATAAGAAATGATGGGAAAACAACGTCCATATCTGAAGAGGCGAGGACACAATGCAGACAGGACAAGGCTGGGATGGGGGAAAGCGTGTGTGTGTGTGTGTGTGTGTGTGTGTGTGTGTGTGTGTGTGTGTGTGTGTGTGTGTGTGCGTGCACACGCACGCACGCACTCTTTGTCCTGCTGATGTTGGTCACCTGATGCAGGGAGTGGGTGAGGTTTGAGAAACTTCCACCTCTACCTCGGAGCCCTTCAGATGAGAGAAACGGAGTGTTCTGTGCCAGCACAGAGTGACAAAGGAAAACAGTGGCAGGGCTGAGGTACACCAAGAAAAGATCTCGTGACTTTAGAGGATCTTCAACACGATTTTTGTTCTCCATATCTATTATTATTGTTTTCTTGATTGAGGAAGGGCAGTGCTAAGATTAACCCCAGCGCCTCATGCATGCTAAGCAAGTGATCTATCCCTGAGCCGTATCCTCAGCTGTTGGTGTTTTTGAAACAGGGTCTCACTGTATATCTCAGGAAGACCTTGACTTAAGTAGTCCACGCTGGCCTCAAACTTTATCTTCCTGCTTTTCCCCCCTGAGCATTGTGAAAACATCAGCTTCCGAGTTTTTTAAGCTGCTC